CAGATAGCAGTCAGCTGAAGTGGCCTGCAATACTGCACCCTAACCACTGCGCCACCTCGGCTCTCGGAATAGAATACCATCTATTCCAAATTGGATAGTGTAGTATAATCTTTATTGTTATTGTCATTGTACAAAAATAAATACAACGAAATTGGTTACTCGGTTTCTTCCCTCTCCTTCATTCCTATAGACAGTCTATCCATTTCTGCACTTTCATAGATTTTCCTTCTTATAATCGGGTTTGGGGAGGGGGAGAGATATCTGTCTGTTTCCAATTCTGTGCTGACACGATTCTGCTTGAGGTTAATATGTGTAATGTTAGTGTATTGTAATTTATTCCCCATTTTCCCATCAAAAATACCCAGGAGAAACAATTCCGGCTTCAATTCTTATCCTCTATTCCGTTTTTTTTTTTTTCAAAAAAAGCTTCTTAATTGTGTTCTGGCATTTAGTTTTCTGTCTCTTTTATCTTGTATAAATAAATTCAGCGAATAAATGCACTCTTCTTCTTCTTTCTTTTTTTCTTTTTATCTTTCCTCTTCCCTTTTTTTCTTTTCTCTTCCCATCTTCCACTCTCCTTCCTTCCTTCTTTCCTTTTTATCTTCCTTGTCTTTTCCCCTTTTTAAAAATTCCCTGCTTCCTTCTTTCCTCCTTTTCTATCTTCCCTTCCTTTTCTTCCCCCTCTCTATTCTTTTCTTCTTCCTTCTTTTCTTCCTTCCTTCCTTCCTTTCCTTCCTTCTATCTTTTCTATCTTCCATTCCTTTACTTCCCCTTTATTTTTAAATTTCCTTCCTTCCCCTTTTGTCTCTATTCCTTTTTTCTTTTCCTTCCTTCTGTTCTTTTCTCTTCCATTCCTTTTTTTTCTCCTTCCTTTTTAAAATTCCTTTCTCCCCCCCCTTCCTATTTCTTTTTCTTCTCCTTCCATCCATCTTTTCCATCTTCCTTTTCTTTTCTTCCCCTTTATTTTTAAAATGTGTTTCTTCCCCTCCCTCTATTCCTTCCTTCCTTCCTTCCTTCCGTCTTTTCTCTACCATTCCTTTTCTTCTCCTTCCTAATCCTTTTTCTTCTCCTTCCTTCCTTACATCTTTTCTATCTTCCTTTCCTTTATTTTTAAATTTACTTCCTTCCTTCCATTTTCCTGTCTTCCTTCTTCCCCTTTATTTCTAAAATGTGTTTCTTCCTCCTCCCTATTCTTTTCTTCTTCCTTCCTTCCTTCCTTCCTTCCACCTTTTCTATCTTCTTTTCCTTTTCTTCCCCTTTATGTTTAAATTTCCTTCCTTCCTTTCTTCCCTCCCTCCATTCCTCACTTCTTTCCTTCTCATCTCCTTGCCTCTTCTCTCCCTCCCTCCCCTCCATCTTCTGTTCATCTCCTTCCTCTCCCCTTCTTTCTTTTCTATCTTCCTTTCTATCTTTCCATCTTCCTTTCCTCCCTCCCTTCTTGCTACCGTTCTTTGCTTCTCCTCCCCTTCCCTCCATCTTCTGTTCGCCTCCTTCCTTCCATTTTCCTTCCTTCTTTCCATCTTTTCTATCTCCCTTCATTTTTAAATTTCCTTCCTTCCCCTTCCCTCTCTATTCCATTTTTCTTTTCCTCCCTCCCTCCCATCTTTTCTATCTTCCTCCTTTTCTTCCCCTTATGTTTAAATTTCCTTCCTTCCTTCCCTCCCTCCCTCATTGTTACCCTTCTTTGCTTCTCATTTCCTCCTCTCCTCTCCACTCACCTCCTCCTTTCTCTCTCTCCCTCCCTTCCATCTTCTTTTCATCTCTTTCCTGTCTCCTTTCTTTTCTATCTTCCTTTCCTCCCTCCATTCCTGTTACCGTTCTTTGCTTCTCCTCCCCTCCCCTCCCCTCTCCTCCATCTTCTCTTCCCTTCCTTCCTTCCTTCCTTCCTTCCTTCCTTCCTTCCTTCTTTCTCTTTCTTTTGCTTCCTTCTTTCCTCTCCTCAGGGGACTGATAAAATCCAGCAGAAAGCCTCCACTCCCGAAGCCAGCCCCACGGTCTCGGGAGAGGCAACGCCGACAGAAGAAATGGTATCTCTTTTTTTGAACTTTATAACCCCTCGCTCTCGCTGTCTCCCACCCAAATTTATGACCTCGAGGGGTCTCTCAACATTCTTGGAAAGCCGTGTTTGCAAAATCAGAAGGCGACCTTTGGCTCCTGCCCTTCCCTTCTTGCAAACGGCCTGTCCAAATGTTCCCCCAGGTGGAATTTGCACCCGCTGATTGGAATCATTGTGTACCTGTACCACAACAACACATTGTGTAAACAGCAAAAAGTGGTCCAGAGGGGTTTGGTGAAAAAAATAAGAATGGAATGGAAAACATGGAATGGAATATAGGAAGAGAATGGAATGGAACTGAAAATAGGAATAGAGTAGAATGGAATGGAATAGAATAGAGGAATGAAAATAGGAATAAGAATAGAATATAGAATAGAAATAGAGTAGAATAGAATGGAATTGAAAATAGGAATAGAATAGAATGGAATGGGATGGAATAGAATAATGAAAATAGGAATAAGAACAGAATATAGAATAAAAATAGAACAGAATAGAATAGAATATAGAAGAATGGAATAGAATTTAAAATAGGAATAGAATAGAAATAGAAATAGAATAGAGGAATGAAAATAGGAATAAGAATAGAATATAGAATAGAAATAGAATAAGAATAGGAATAGAATAGAAAATAGGAATAGAGTAGAATAGAATGGAATCAAAAATAGGAATAGAGTAGAATAGAATGGAATGGAATAGAATAATGAAAATAGGAATAAAAACAGAATATAGAAATAGAAATAGGGTAGAATAGAATATAGAAGAATGGAATGGAATTTAAAATAGGAATAGAATAGAAATAGAATAGAGGAATGAAAATAGGAATAAGAATAGAATATAGAATAGAAATAGAATAGAATGGAATCAAATCAAATCGAAAATAGGAATAGAATAGAATAGAGTAGAGGAATGAAAATAGGAATAAAAATAGAATATAGAATAGAAATGGAATAGAATAGAATAGAATAATAGAGTAGAGTGGAATAGAATAGAATAGAATTCTTTATTGGCCAAGTGTGATTGGACACACAAGGAATTTGTCTCTGGTGCATAAACTCTCAGTGTGCATACACACAAGAAGTGATAAACCATGATCATATTCATACAATAGTGTCATCATATGTCAAAATCTCAATAGCAATGCTGCCATCAAAATTGATCCTGTTTATGATGCCCCCGAAAAACCTACCGAGCTCCAATCACATTCATGGCCGCCATCTTGACTTTTTTGACCCCACCCTGTGGATCCCGCTGCATTGAAATACTTTTGATAAAATCCTTTTAGATCCCCCAGGGAAAATTCCACTTCCAGAGGGTGGTGTATGTCAGGAAATGTCCATTTGGTCATAAATGTCCTAACCACCTTTCTCTCTCCTTGCCAGATGCCACCATCCCCGGAGGACAGCCAGCTGCTGCAGTTCTACACGGGGCAGTGCCAGACGCACTACCGCACCCTCCTGTCGGCCATCGAGGCCCTCTTGGCCAGCGCCGGGGCCCACCAGCCGCCTCGTGTCTTCGTGCCTCATGGAAAATTCGTCATTGTCACAGCGCACAAGCTGGTGTTCGTGGGCGATACCGTCTCCCGCCTGGCGTCTTCGGCGGCCGTGCGGGCAAGGGTGGGGGCCGCCAGCACAGCTCTGTGCCAAGCCTTGAAGGAAGCGGTCCTCGCGGTCAAAAGTGCCGCGTTGAGCTACCCGTCGTTGCCAGCTGCCCGCGAGATGCAGGGTTGCGTGGCAGAATTGTCGCGGCAAGCTCTGGCTTTCACCACCTTGCTGGGCACTTTGGCGCCCTCTTGATCCAGGACTCCTCACAGCTGCCATCCACCCCTACGGTGGACAATGGGACAATAGGTCTCTTTTTCTATGGAGGGTGCTTGGCGGGGCCCATCCTAGCCAGTGACAGTCCGGGAATCGGTACTAATGTTCCCACTTCTGCCAGGCTCGTTCATCGGTCAAGACCAGATCCGCCACGGCCGATGCATGTGCCAAAACAAAAACAAAAAACAGAGTACCCTGTCGCATCTCAAGGACCTGCTCTTGGCCTCCTTCCTTACGCCCTTGCCAATCTTCCTTAGCCAAAGAACGTCCCTGATTTTGGCCCCCTCGCCGGCGTCTGTGGAACTCGGAGCCTCGTCCGCTGCCGGATTTCAGCACGGACTCTTTATAATCTGGAAGGGTGACACCCCCCCCCCCAATCATCCACGGAGATGAACGGATTTGGGATGTGGGGGGGAGGAGAGAACGGGGGACCTTTGCTATTTTCTGGAGACTCCTGATGGTCGAAAGGAGGGGAACGGTGTCCGGTATGTCCGGACACTCCCACAGAGGCTTAATAGGAAACGAGGAAGAACAAAATGGCTGCCGAACCGGGTGTTTCGTTGCCAGCCTCCTCGCCCACCCCGCCCCCCACCCCCTCGATTAGCTGCAATAAAAGATATTGTGTCAAGGATTGGAAGGACAAAGGACAGAAACGGTTATTAACTGAATTGATGAGGCAATTAAAATAGTATTTCTCAAGCGTGGTCCCTTTAAGAGGGGATGGACTTCAACTCCCAGAATTCCCCAGCCAGCCATGGCTGGCTAGGGAATTCTGGGAGCTGAAGTCCACCCCCTCTTAAAGGGACCACGGTCGAAAAGACTGAATGGGCAGAAACTCTTAATTATGAGTAAACGGAGACAAAGTATTTTTTCCCCCCTCAGGAAATATTTCTCAGAATCTCTCTAGGTTTGATGATAATAAAATAGCTGGGAAAAAATGGCTATGTTTTTAAATTTTTGGCCCAGGACAGCCGGTCCTCGACTTATAACCATTTTTAAGCCACCATTTCGGTTACTGGACCATCGCCACATCCCGACCATCAATGTCATCAAATTTGGGCACTTAGGAACCAGCATGTACAAATCACATGCATGTTGCAACATCCTGACGTCACGTGGTCATGATTTAACGGCTTTCCCAGCTGACATCCAACGAGCAGAGTCCCTGGGGGGAGCTGGATTCGCTTAATGACTTTGATTCACTTAATGACTTAAAAACCGTGCCCCCCCCAAAAAACGGTCGTAGGATGGAATGCGAGTTGTTTTAACANTGCAGTCAGCTGAAGTAGCCTGCAGTGCTGCATTTAACCACTGCGCCACCTCGGCAACACACAGACAAACATTATTATCTACCAATAAAGAGTCTATGGAGTTTCTCATTGTTTTGCTTCTCATCCAGAGAAGAGCACCAAGGGGCCCCCATTTCAACCCTGAGTTACAAATATTCTCCTTTATTGGTACTTTCTACTTCCATATGAAGAAAACCTGGTTTGACGGGAGAGGTGTAGCTAGAAAAAAAAACCTCCTCATTCTTATGGCCAGTGTAGAAGTTTTTCTAGCTACACTTTTGCTGTCAAACAAAAAAACACCAAGAAGATTTTTCTGCACACATTTCTATTGACAATAGCAGCACCGTCCCTGAACCGTGCGACTTCATGGAACAAATCTGAGCCATGGCTGAGAAATGTGGGGACATATTTAAACCTGTCCAAGACTAATTTGGCAGAACTTGTCAATCTATCTTCTAATCTCACTCTTGCTCACACCTGTCTCTCCTTAATAGTTGATGTCAGGGAGCAAAATTGATTGATTCTACACTTTTTTTGAGGTAGTGTTTTAGGCTATAATCAGGCTATAATAGAATTGTATTAGCTAAAAACACAATTGGCTGCGAGCTCTAAAAGGGATTACACGTATCCTGTGGGTTGGCTTTATTAAAATAAATGAATAGCTGCAAAGCCTTCCCTTACCCTTGTCAAAGTACGCCTTCCCCCCCAAAACTGATAAGATGAAATTTGTGTTCGTATCCCAATTTAATTTTTTGCCTTTTAAGGGGAAGCAAACCTATATGAATATAGTCTCTCCCATCAATCACTCCGAGAACATAAAAGAAAGACGTAGCACTTCATTCCCTTTAAATTAATCACCCTGGCCTGATTGAAATCTTTCTTTTCAAACCCGCTGAGCAAAATGCAATGCTGTAAAACCTCCCGTGATTGTTTCAGAAAGGGTAGAAAATACGACCATCTTGGCATCCGTCTTTGCCAAGTGATGCCCAATGACTTTGACACCAACTTCCTAAAAAGCACAGGGCAATTCATAGCAATAGCACTTAGACTTATATACTGCTTTACAGGGTTTTTACAGCCCTCTCTAAGCGGTTTACAGAGTCAGCCTCTTACCCCCAACAATCTGGGTCCTCATTTTACCGACCTCGGAAGGATGGAAGGCTGAGTCAACCTTGAGCCGGTCAGGATTGAACTGCTGAACTAGTGCATTCTAACTACTGTGCCACAACGGAAGGAAGGAAGGAAGGAAGGAAGGAAGGAAGGAAGGAAGGAAGGAAGGAAGGAAGGAAGGAAGGAATAGCAATAGTACTTAGATTTACATATTGTTTCACAGTGATTCACAGCCCTCTCTTAGCAGTTTACAGTGTCATCCTATAGCCCACAACAATCCGGGTCCTCATTTTACCGACCTCGGAAGGATGGAAGGCTGAGTCAACCTTGAGCCGGTGGGACTTGAACTGCTGAACTACTGGCAATCAGCAGAAGTAGCCTGCAGTACTGCACTCTAACCAACTGCACTACCACGGCGCCACCACAAATATGTGTATGCGATTATGTGTGGGAAACGGGGGGAGGGGGGAGAAACAAGGATGTTTTCAGGAGAAAGAGATCAGTGTGTTTCGCCCTTGACTGCTTTAAGAAGTGTGGACTTCAACTCCCAGAATTCCCCAGCAGGCCTGCTGGGAATTGAAGTTCGCAGCTCTTAAAGCAGCCAAAAACACTAACGTAGTGGGGAAAAAACCACTAACGTAGATGATAACACCGGATCGATATATGAGATTTGTTATCTTTTCACGGGGTTGGAGAAGACTAGTTGGAGAGGGCCGTCTCTTTGAAGCAAAATATATTTTATTTATGGTAGATCAACCTGCCAGAAGCGCTTCGTGTGCTTTGCTAAAGCCGTGTAACGCAGAAATGGGAAAATGTCAGATTCAAAATAGGCTTAAAATGATTTTTTTTTTAATAAAAAAAATCACCTCACCTTTGGGAAAAACCAGCATTAAGATTCTGACTCATACATCTTCATTCAGAACTATTTGGGGGCAAGATCTGATGCCTTGACGAAGGTTGCTGTATTTTATCTTCCATTATGTTGAAGTCTCTCCTGCTGGGCTCTAGCCATATCTCCCCACCACAAATGTTGTGCAGGAGCACTCCCAGGATGTGAGACAGACTTAAAATGACTGTCAAGATTTCCAGCCCTGGGAGATTTGCTTGTTCGTTCAACTTCCCTTTCTAAAACAGAAAGAAAAACTGAAATTTCCATTCTATGATTCCTGTGTTTTTTTTGGTTCCACCACAAAACCGCGGAGGACAAAATCGCGCTCGACGAAAGCGCGCATTTGACGTCATCACAGCGCGACGAAAACATCGCGCTGTGATCGAAAAATGTAAAAAAAAGCTAAAACCTTACCCTAACCCCC